GGGAAAATAATTAAGAAATCATTCTACTTTCCTTTGCTTATTTTGGCTGTTTTGATAAGCAAATATATTCCCAGTAGAGTACCATGCATAATAGTAAGGTTATTATTCATCTATCCAAAAAAATTCAGAATTTCTATACACTCAAGAAATCAGTCATCACATGGGTACTTTAAAACCCAAGAAAACTGTACACTCAAAGACGAAAATAATTTCAAAAAACAACCAATTCTCAAGCACAATACGCCTCAAAAGTCTAAAATGCATAATTAGCAAAAATTGCCCATCTGGTTGGGTATCTTGAACCTTATAAAAACAAAATCCTAGAAACAGAACATGCAAGAAATCACAAAAAGAGCAGGTCTCAAACACTTGTGCTCATCAAAATTTGTGAAATTCCTTCAAAGATAGCAGCACGTTAGTGACAAATTCACCAACTTGAAGATGTTAAATCTCAGAGTTTTTGTGAACATCAGTAGAAGTGAATTGGATAAAGAAAAGTTGGGGGCTTACCAGTGGGGCTTGAACTCTAAACTCTCTTTGCGAGCATTAGGGGACTGTCACAGAACAGATTGGTCCATCTTAGAAACATAGAGAGAATCAAAATCGAAGCTTGAAAAAGGGAAAAAAAAAAAAAAAGGATACTTAGGACAGTGCTTGAAAATCAAAGAAACACTTTTATGTGCAAAAAGGGATACCATCTTCTGAACACATCAAAACAGGAAGGATCCATGAAGGTGAGATGTTGCTAATGTTTGAAGAACTCATGCTAAACTTCGAAAACCTCACATTCAGATAAGGAAGATATTGTAGGCCCCAGCGTCTCTGTGCTAGAAAAACTAATGAGCTGTTGTAGTGTCTGAAGATCCCAAGTAAATACAATTCTTGAAAAGCAAAAATAGAATAAAAAAAATCAGTACTAAAATATAAGAATCATCTTATCACACTTTCTTTTAAAATTTTTTGAAAACGAATAAAGGAATTAAGCCCAAAAAAAAAAAAAAAAAAAAAAAAAAAAACAGTGTAACTTGAGCAAACATGGACTTAGCAGTTAAATCTTGAACAACATAAATTTTCTCCTTGTGAACAGAAAATAGACTGTTAACATGTTCAGGCTCACAACCAACAAAAAAGGATCACCACAATCATTTACATCAGCCACTTTTCCCCCTATTAACAACCGTTTCTACAATGGAACAGTAATGCTTGCACTTATGGTTGAGAGAGGAGACACCAGTATTTTCAACCAAAAGAGAAAGCACACATCTTAGCAAGCATCTTGAATCAACAGAAGGAATCCTAGTTGTCTCTTTAAAACAGAAGGCATACAAAATAAGAAGTAAAACAGGAAATAATCCAACTTAAATTTGGCAGTTTATCCATTGAAAAATAAGCAAATTAAAAGATTACACTTCCTAAGAAGAGACGTTATACTTCTACAATGTCTAAGTCCATTAAAAAGAGATAATCATGTAACTCAATTTTTTATTTTACAATTAAAGCAACAAAATTTACTTAATAAAATAAGCTATCTTCATACAACACAGGTTCAGTACTTCAACCTCAGTATTTCTCACTTGAAGAAGAGGCAACATGCCACCGCGTCATTTGCCCTTAGCATTGAGAGAACAAGATCCAGCACACAATTATTTACAACATTAGACCCCGTATGAGAAATTAAAATGATATATTGACATATATGTTACCCGTATGTGTGATTTTTCTTTGCAATGGCTTCTGAACAACACACTCAACAGCAGAGAAATCCCATGACTACAAATGTTTTTGCTGAACTCCAGCTTCTTTGCACCATTTGCTAGGCTTGAATGAATTTTTGTTTGCCAGTCATTTGATCTTGCATTATAGAGTTTTCCAGGGAAGCCAGTATCAAACCCATGCAAAATCCAAATCCACCTCCTACAATCATTTCCAAAAAACACATGGGAAATCATCGAGTGATCAGCTTTACTACAGAACCCCAAAAACCCTACGTGTTTCTCTGCAACATAGCAAGGTAATGTAATCAAACTAAAACAAATGTGCATTTGCTAAAAGAAAAGGGACAGCTTATTGCTGAAATCTTGAAATTTTAACAAATGCTCAGAGTAAGAGTGCACACACACCCAAAAAAAGAAGCAAAGATGAAAGCCACCATTTAACTCCAATTTCAGAGAAACAGATCATATCCTAATCATCCACTGCAGTGCTAGCCAGACCACCATCTGAACCATCCAAACCTAATCATAAAGTAGATGTAATTACATTGA